GGCAGGTCCGGGCTACCATTTTCACAATCATCATCATCATCATCATCATCATTGGCAGCACTGGGGCAACGAGTCAGAGGAAACCGTTTCAACCGTGAGCTGCTGTGCGCATGCGTTAAACACTGACCAGAGTCCTCTAGTAGCATCGACTAAGCAAGCGGAAGCCCCATCCAACCCTAAGCCCTAAACCTTATAGCCCCAGCAAACCCTAAACCCTAAACCCAAAACCCAAGAGACCTTCGCAGCGTCTCAGAAAGGCTCTACATCGAATGACAATTCAGAAGCGCACGAAGAGATGCAGATCCGAGCTCCTCATATACATCTGCAGGTTTATGTTGGGGCTATATAGGGAGAATATTCCCATATAATGGAGCATCAAATGGAAAATAAAATGGAAAATGACATGGAAACCCTAGGTCCCTTTAAAGGGGTCATATAAGTAGTGTTTTATTTGGGGATACTATGGTAGGTATCAATTATAGAGTAAGATTATGTCCTCTTCTTATGCGGTATAGTAGTTGATATGACTAAGCAATGATGGTGAGGGTTCCCGCTGCAATACGGGTCTCTATATACATGTCCTCCATTTTGGGGGCAGTGATTTATTCCAAGCCCCGCATGAGTAGTGTTATATTTGGGGATACTATGGTCCACAATATAGAGTAGAATTATATCCCCCTTTTGGGTATAGTTTTTATGTAAGGAAGATAACCATTTGTGTTTCAACCACCCACAAACGCTACTCACATCTAAATCGATGGAGGTCAGGCTCCACGCAAGCTACTGTTAATATCAGGGCATGGAAAAGAAAATGGAAGCTACTATTAAGGTAGTCGTGCGGTTTAGGAGAGCCTTGGGGTAAATGCTGGGCCTCATTTGGGGGAAGGTGGTTGGGCTTTAGGGTGATAGCTCTCACATTTCTTATTTAGAAACTCATCGGAATTCCATTAGGGTCCTAGTAGGTGTTTTTTTAGGTATCACATTCAAAACTATGTTAGCAGTCTTTAAATTGATGGAGAGCTCTTACTTGTCTTGTAGAAACTACGAGGAGGTCTTACATGTCTTGTTAAGTCCAATTAATGTAATTAGTTCCCTTATTTTGATTAATGTATCCGGGAAAATAAGCAGGGTGCTTTTAGGCGTGAAGGGCTGGAGGAACTGTAAAGTTTTGTTTAAATACTTATTATCCCGAAAGTTTTTAGACGGGTTAATCAAGTTAGTTCAGATCCTCCCAACCTCTCAATTGTCTTGTTAGCGTTGATGGCATAAAGTAGCAAGTTTAATTAATTTGGCTCGCATTCATTTAGCTGATGTGTTTTGATAGATCTTAGACTGCCCGTCTGACTCTTCTTATCAGCAGTGATTATCGTGTAAAGCTGTATGCCTACGGGGCATGTTTGATGACCATTAAATATATATAGATATATATATGGGTGGTCGTCAAAAT